TTCTGCTCAGTTTTGCGTAGTGAGGAAACTCCATGGTGGGGGAAAGAGAAGAAAACCATGTGCACTGTCAGGCCCACACAACTGGCAGGGGTGCACTGTCGCTAGAGACGGATGCACCGCACCGTCCCACGCACTGGCCTACCTGGCGTGGCGTTTTCCTTTCGGCAGCTCCCGTTTCCGTTTCCGGGGGGGCCCGTTTTTGTTGTTGGGACTCTCCCACAGAACTGGGGGGAGGAGGAAGCAAGCAAGGGGCAAAACAAATAAGAAATAAATAAAAATAAAAAATAAAATAAAATAAAAAAAAGGAAGTGGATCTGCTTAGCTATCTGTGAAGGGCATGAAGCGGCTGCGCCGCGCCGCGCTTAGTGCCGCCCTGTGACTTTTCGAGCTGCAGGGTGAACTGCCGACTTATTTGCAGCTGCGCCAGCGTGCGACAAACGCCGGCCGGCGGCCTCCTCCGCTGCAGGAAAAGTTCGGAATCCGTGCGCAAAGCGTCTACCGTCTTCTTGAGCTCCTCTGAGAGGGCGGCGTCGTGACGGTGGCGGGTGGCACACGCCCCCACGGACTCCAGCTGCTCCGTGAGCAGCTCCGGCGGGATGAGGGCGCGGAGGTACAACTGCGTCGGACGCAGGAAGAAGCCAACAAACGTGGAGACGGGCAGCGCCAGCTGGTGGGGCGGGTCAAGGTGCGGCTGCTGAGTTGTGAGCAGAAGCACATCCCCCCGGAGCTCCTGCGAGAGGTGGTGCATCCACTCCTCGGGGCGGCGCTCGCCCTGCCCCGACTCCTTCGGGCAGAGTATCCAGCCGTCGCCGTAGAGCTTCTCCTCGCTCACGGCGTCACCACTCAGAACGCCCTCCGCCGTGAGCGTCACCTCCCGCGTCAGCCACCGCTCGCGCTCAAAGTGGGAAGTGCACGCATGCCGCCCGGTCAGCAAAAGGACCGCACGGTCGCCGCCGGATTCCGCCGCTCCGCCCTCTCGTGCCAAGTCAAGGTCTTCAACCGCACAGCAACGCGTGGGAAGCGCAAAGAAAGGGCGGCGCGCGGAGCAAGGCACGGTGTAGCGACCAAAGCGCAGCGAGACAGGAACGTGACGATGCAGCTGCAGAAAGGGAGACAATGACTGCTGAGTCACGCTGCGGAGAACCAGCGGGGCAATGGGGCATCGGATGGCGCGAATGGCAGGCGTCAGTGCAAGCGAGGTTGTCGTCATCGCCGTGGCATCCAAGTGCAGTGAGACCCACGCATTTTCCATGAAAGGTATGGCAAGGATCTTTGCTGAGTGCACAAGACGACTGAAATCACTGATCGTCGTAAAGGTGGTAAAGAAGAAAAGGCTACGCGAGCCATCCGGCGTGGAATGTGCCGTGGAGTACAACAACTGCTGCAAGGCCTCCACCACGCACTGATTCGTTTCACGCGCCGGGGAGCGCACTGGGTTGAGCGCCGATAATATGCGCATTGCATCCGCCACCACATTTGCGTCGCGGGCGGCATCCCAAACAGGCAGGAGGCGGCTTCCGTTTGCCGCGAACAGCTCGACACGTAGCCACTGCTCCCCTCGCACAAACACGGCGGCGCGTGACAGCGCCAACATCTCGCCCATTGCCGTGGTGAAAGTGTCCCGCGCCGACGCGAAGAGCTCCCAGTCCGTGTAGCGGAGGTCAAACACAACCGACACCGACGACATCGAGTCAGTCGGCAGTCACGCGACACAACCGGCAACCCAACAGCAGCCGTGGAGGTGTAAGTGTGCCTGTAAAGGGGAAGTGGGAAGGTAGGGAGAAAGAAGCATACGCAAGGACAAATAAATAATAGTAACCATCATCGTCATCATCATCATCATCATCGTCAGAATCATCACGCAATGAAAATAATGGCCACGCTACGGCGGTGGCGGAGTCAACGCGGGTCTGTTATAAACCCCAAGGACCTTTCGTCCGGGGGAAGTTGGCAACGAAGAAGGAAATAGCACGCCTCTCCCTTAGCGGGACGAAAAGTAAACAAGGAATGAATCCACAACGACAGGAAAAAAACAACAACAACAACATAAACCCCCCACAGGCTCACATCAAAGCAGCAGTCCCTGTAAAACGCAGTTGTTTATCCACACCACACCGGCGCCACTTAGTCCACGGCTGGTACTCCTCTGAGTGACGGAGATCCTCCATCATTGCGTCCTGCCTCGCGTTTCCTGCGAGGATGACCATGTGAAGTGACGGGGCCACAACATAGACGGAAGGATCCACGCGCTCCAAAAGCTCCTTCTGTGATGCAAGATTTATCGTCTTAAGAAGAGGAAAATGCCCCGTCTTAGGCCCTTTCCACCGGCTAGAGATCAGCGTGAAAGTGCCTCCAAGGCAGTTCCCGTCCAATAACAGTTCACTAAGCGAGGGGAAGAGAGGCTCCGCCGGAGCGGCGTTTGCGGCAGCGCCATCGAGGAGGTAAAATTTACGCAACTGGCTGCAGCCAAGGTCGATCGTCGTCAGAGCCGCACCAGACCCAACGCGAGCCGCAAACCCACCCTCTATTTCCAGTGGGGCCTTATTTCCACGGCAAAAAAGCCGCCGAAGTTTGGGAAACAACTCCAGTAGAAGCAGCGGTAGCTGGTGCAGGCGGTTGTTTGAAAGGTTGAGGGACTCGAGCGGATACACAACCCGAGAACAGTCAGTATGCCTTTTATGTTTCTTCGACAACTCGCAACCGCCAAGAACACCAAGGACACAGGCACAGGTAAGGTCGTTGGAAGAAAGGTCAAGTGTTCGCAGCGTGGACCACATTCCTAGACGCATAACGCCGGACAGCAGCGGCTTTGAGAGCCGGTTCCGGTCAAGCGCCACACCGCGCAGGTTAGGCAGCTTCGCCAGCACCTTTACGATCGTCCTCCAGGAGTGGAGTTTGCACCGGCTCGCCACCAACACGCCAGTTGCAGCGGCGCCATTGATACGTTCCCTGGATATATCCACGCCCATTCCTGTTATTCTCTCTTTGGCTTTATGCTCCTTAATTTTTGCTCCTTAAAATGACGTTTCCGACTGTTTTGCTTTTGTTTTTAACAAAAACATTTTATGTGAGTTTGGCAGACAATGCATGACAAGAGAGAAGGGAGGAGGACCCTGGCGAAGCCGGCCACCTTGCCGTGGTGCCAAGGGATTCAGCGCCTCGCAAAGAGAGAAGCCAAGGGCCAGAAATAAGCCCTTTCCTCCCCGCTAGAGGCACCGGCTGTCCACGACGATAGTGTCACTACATTCCAAAACACGCGTGGGCGCCCAGCTGGACCCGCGCGCGCATGCTCGAAAACTTCACCAAAACCGCTTCCCGCCGCGTATTCCCATTGCACCGCAGCCATCCAATACTCCCTACTTTCGGAGCGACGGAGGGCCCGCAACGCCTCAAATGCCCCTGCTGTTTGCGGGTCGAACATGTCAGGTGGGCTGTTCTTCGCGTGACGGCGGCGCGCCGCGTACGGAAGCGGCCCTTCTGCTCCCGGGCCGTGTGCGGCCAGCATTCGCCGCTTCAGCAAGCCGGGCGCCCAGCCGGATCCCGGCCCCGGCGAAAAGGACGGGGGCCAGTGGAGGGAGGGCGGAATGGCCCTGAGAGAGCGCGCGGGAGGCGGCGTGCGCCGTCGCGGCAGTTCCCCCGGCATATGCGGGGCGCTGGCCCGGCAGCCTCCTCGGTCCCGCTGGGGAAAAAAGAAATTCGCCCCCTTGCAGACGAAGGAAGATGGAAAAAGTTGCGGAGAAACACCTCCCCCCGCACGCGCTGGCGAGAAGTCTTGTGATTTCCGCGGCGCCCTCCAGAAGCATCTGTCCACGGCGCGCGATGCAAGTCACGCCCAGGGGCCGTTTGGACGCGTCCAACCGCAGCGCCCCCGGAAAAAACGACCACGCGACGACCGTGAAGCGGGAGCGGCGGGGCCGATGCCAAAGGTTCCTCGGCACGAAGTGTGTGTACACAGCGTCCGCACCGCCCCCCAACCCCTCGCCACCGGGCGCCCACGTTGGCAGAGTTCGCTGCAAGGGCAGGGCAAGGCAAGTAAACCACGCCGTGGTTCGGAAACAGCTTGTGTGCGAGGAGACGCCGGAACGCTGCTCTCCCGTGCGGCCCGACAATCCAAATTCGTCCTGGAGGGGTCAGGGGCACCCGGGCTCGACAGTTCAGCAATCGACCGGCCCGGTTCCTCTGTGGTCAGTTCAATCGCCCAGGCCCTGAACCGTTTCCCGTCCGTGGCAACAATACTTGTGTGGACGGCGTCGCTCGTCCGTTGGGTGGGGGGAGCAACCTGTATTTTATTGTTTTACTTCTCTTTTTCTAGTTTTGGACTCTTTTGCTTTGGCCTCGCACCCGCACCCGCAGGGGTGTGCGCCTTAAATGCTGCGCATCGCAACTTCTCCTCTTGCACCGCTCTTCGGGGGGAGGAGGAAACGGGTCCGACAAGAGAGCTCGGCTTCAACTTCTGCAGTTCTCGCACGAAGCGGAAGGTGCCGCTGTTGCAATCCCCTCAGGAGTGCGATGGGGCCAGACGTGCAGATGCAAAACAGTTACGATTGAAGATAATTTTTTAAAAAAAAAATAAGTGCGTGGGTGTGGGCGTGTGGGAGGCGCAGTTGTCGCAGACCTCCGCATGGCCGTCGCCCCGTTGCCGCCGGCAGGGAAGTTTAACAATGCCCATAACGTCCGAGACGCGGCTGCCAGGTTCCACTATAACCCTCTTTGCTTCGTTTTATCCCCCCGTGAGTCACTTTTTTGGGTAGTAGCGCTGGCCAAAGAGCGCGGTCCCCACCCGCACCACCGTCGATCCCATTTTTATCGCATTCTCAAAATCGCCGGTCATCCCCATTGAGAGTGCAAGTGAATCGGCAGGCACAGAAAGAGCTGCGGCAACCGCCTCACGATTGCGCAAGAGACATTCAAAGTTTTCTGGGCGGCTCGTGAAGTCAGGCATCCCAATGGTCATAAGCCCTGCCAAGTTGAGAAGCTTGCAGTTCTCTTTTATGTGCTTTGCGAGCTCCACCGTCGGGTTCCCCGGTTCTGTGCCGCTCTTTGACTCCTCACCGCTCGTGTTAACCTGGACGTAAACGTCCAAGGAGCGGCCGCCACGGTACTTCGCGCAGCCATCATGCAACTTGTTTGCCAGTTTTGCGCTGTCCACGGTCTGCACGAGACTCAAGCCCTCCGCCCCCTCAAGAAGCTCCTTCACCTTGTTGCTCTGCAAGTGGCCAATGAAGTGCCAGCAGATGTCCTTCGGCAATACACCCGCCTTTTCCACCATCTCCTGCACGTAATTTTCCCCAAAGCAGCGTTGCCCACAATCGTACAGCGCTTGCACACACGCCGGGGACTTGGTTTTGCTCACGGCAACGAGCGTGACTGGACGTCCGCCAGCGGCGGCGTGAATACGTCCCATGACATCCTTATAATTTTCGGCAAGATGTTCGGCTGTGGGCTCACCTGCAACGTCGTAGCGTGACATTGCAGCCCTGAGGAGCAGCGAAGTGCAGCGGAACAGTGTCACTTGCTTTTGTTTTCTGCGTTTGCTTGTCCAGAGGGACGTGGAGTTGAAAAAGGAAATAAATCACTCACAAAGACAAAAAGAAAGAGAAAAGGAAACGGAGGAAAAAAAAACATAGCAACAGAAATAGGAACAGACAGAGAGAGAGAGAGAGAGAGTGAGGGAGACCGTTCACTACACGCCGCGCGCGGGCGGCACGCGGGGCGGCGGAGGGGTTTAGGTTAGGGAGAGAAGTTAAGGCCTGCAGCGGCGGGGTTGAGGCATGAGAGCGCCGCCGCTACTCCTTCCGTGCGACTTTCGCGGGGGGTGCGTCGTCGTCGGCGCCGCCGAATCCCTCCGGCAACCGCGGCCGCTTATTTTGTGGCGCCTGCGCCTCCTCCTCCTCCTCCTCCGTCTCCTCCTCCGCCGCGGCGATGAAGGAGTCGTCGCTGGCGTCGCTCTCCTCGTCGAGGCTGGAGCCGCTCTCGTCCGTGTCGGAAACGACGACCTCCTCGCCGTCGCGGCCTCTGGAGTCGAGCGCCACGAGCTTCGGAAACAACGCAAAGAAGTCGTTGAAGCGGGAGGCGTCAGCCACCGCGTTGTCCGCGACGTCGACGGCCTCCAACTCCGGAAACGCCGCCGCCAGCCGCTCAACCTCCGCCCACTGCCTTAGGCAGTTGTTCGCGATGAAGAGGCGCCGCAAAGTGGGGCACCGTGGGAGCTCCTCCGCGACCGTCACGGCGTTATCGCTCACGTCCAGCATGCGGAGAGACGGGAACGCGGCCAGGGAAAGCGCCTGCAGCGTCTTGAGCTTTGGCTTCAGCGAGACCAGCGTCAGGTACGTCAGGGCGCTGAAGCATGTGAGGCGCTCCGGCAGCAGCGGGACGCCACTTAGCGAGATGTCGGTTACCTCCTCCGGCGGTATGTCTTTTGTCTGCTGCTCGATGTGAAGCAGCGCCGTCTTCTTGAGAATCTCCATTGCGGCGGCAATCCCCCTTTCTCACCTTGCAGCACACGCTTAGAAGGGGCGACAGGACGCGGGGGCGGAGAGGAGGGGACGTGCAACGCCGCCGCAGCAAAGGCATTGGAGGGCACACGGTGGGGAGGCGAAGGGAACAGCAGCGAGGCTCGCACACGCAGCCCCGCAGAGGAGACTCCACGTCATCCCCGCACATCTTCGCTCGCTGGTGGGCGCTGCGCCCCAAGATCACAGCAAGAAGAAAACAACAACAACAAAAGAAAAAGAAAAAGGGACCCAACCGTCTGGCCGCAACGCTCGTACGCTGGCTAGCCAAAAGCCGCGGATAGGCCCAAATTTACGAGGCATTGAGGAGTCCGTGAGGGGGATAAAAAAAAAAAGAGCAATAAAGACACCGCAATGACCGTTTTTATATAAAAATAGGGGTGTAAAAAAGATCCCTGAGGGGTCTTTTTGCCTGTTGTACTTTTATCAACTGCTTTACATGGCACAGCCGGGATAGTCGCATCACGCCTCGCATTTCCCTCTGCGTGTGTGGTCCTCCCGTGCCCCACGTGCACCGCCAATTCAACTTGAACCATTCAAAGGATACTTACCAGATTACACATATATGTATATATATATATATATATATATATACACACGCATACACATGTACACACACGCCTCCTACCAGCCCCTTCCCCTCCCTCGGCATCACCTCTCTCTCTCTCTGTCTGTCTCGCCGGTCCCCGTGTTTATTATATACATTGTATGTACGCATCGAAGGGGAAGGGCTAGGGCACCCTCGCAGGCTTCCCGACGGGCGGGTCCATTGCCCCCAGACAACGGTGATGACGAGCCACCTTGTTCACCTCCTCCCTACTTCCCTTCAAGGGCGGCAACTGCCCGCCCACCGCGGCAGCAGCGGCAGCAGCGGCAGCAAGGAGCAGAACAACTCGTAGCATCCTTCCGCCACGATCAGTACAGCTCAGTATACTCCAGCTTCTGCAGGTCCTGGTAGGGTGTGCAAAGAACCAGGCTGTTGCGCAGGTGCTGGCAGTTCAATACATCGACAACCCAGGCCTTTTCACGATGGGCGTTGATAATTTCACCGAGGGCTTTCGTTCCGTCAAAGTCAACGCGCTTCACGAGAGACATGTCAAGCACGAGGCGCTTCTTCGTCTCGGCTGGCAGCGACTCACGAAAGGCGAGACTCCTCTCAAAGATGAGGCTCTTCACGTGTGCGCAGTTGATGAAGAGAAGCGATTCCTGCGGCTGCACAATGAGGACCCGAAAGACACGCGGCTGCGGCGTGCGTGGTGATGCAAACACCTCATCCTCCTCAAGGAACAGGACCTCGGACACGGCCACGTCGCTGTAGTTCAGCAGCACGCTAATCACAATGCCGACGAGGAGCCCAAGAAAGGTGTCGGTGAGGGTGCAGGCGGCGCAGGTAATGATGGTGGAGTAGAGGTTCGCGGTGTCAATGACATGCAGAATGTGCAGGTCGTGAAAGTCCACAAGTTTGTAGGCGACAACCATCAGAATGGCCGCCACGGTGGCCATGGGCAGCTCCTTGAAGAGGGGGCGGAGCACACTGCACAAAAGGGCCACGGCAACGCAGGAGACAACGCCGGACACCCGCGAAAAGGCGCCGGAGTGCACCATCAGCGCCGTCCGCGCCAATGCGGCGGTCGATGGAATTCCCCCAAAGAACGCACTGAACATGTTCGCGAGGGCCAGGCCAAACGTGTCACGGGAACTCGAGTAGTTTAGGTACGACTTATCGTCCACATGGTTGTTTGCAATAAGCGAGCTGATGAGGGTCTCCATGAGTCCGACGGTGGCGATGCCAAACCCGTAGAGGACAACTGTTGGGTGAAACCACCGGGGACTTATCAGCGCCTCAAGCGACTCGACGGCAAAGAAATTAAGTGACAAATCCGGGTACTTCATGCTTAGCAGGATGAATGACCCGCGAGGCAGTATTTGGGCGACGAATATCCCAAAGAGGGTGAAGATAATCTGCCATGGGATTTTGTTGTACCGCCTGGACAGAATGAGCAGAGGGATGACGGTTACAAGAAAGAGCAGCGTGTCAGGGACGCTGAGCGTCCCAAGACATCTGTAGTCCTCCCTCAGCTTGTCCACAAGTGACTCCTTCGGCATGACGCCTTTCAGCCCCAGCGCCGAGGGAATTTGCCCGACGGCAATCACGATCGCCACGGCGCAGCCAAACCCGTGCGCCACCCCAGAGCTCACGTACTGCAGGAGACGATCCACGCGAAGCAAAAAGAAAAGCGCCATCCAAAGTCCCGCCTGCAGGGCGAGTGGGGCCAACACGCCCCCGCCGTACGACACAACCATCGAGGCAAGCAGTCCGCTGAGGGCTCCCGTCGGGCCAATGACGTTGAAGTGCGAGGAACCAAAAATAGCCGCAATGAGACCCGCCCAGACGCAGCTCACAATACCCTGCGCCGGGGTTGCGCCGCTTCCAATGGCGAGGGCAATACTTAGCGGCACGTTCACAAGAGCCACAGTCAAGCCCGCCTTGGCGTTCGCCATGAAGTCGTAAAACAGGGGTTTATGCCGCGGCATAAAAACCCACTCCAGCCACGTCCGCTGCGGCTCCAGGTTCTCACCCAAGGCCGTCTTTGGGCACCCAAAGACGTCAACCGGACGAAGCGGACAGCCTACCATGACGCAAAAATAACAACAACAACAACAAAAAAACTTTTTGCTTGTTTTGGTTTGCGTGTGTGTGTTTTTTGCTTGTTTCGCAGGGCTTCACTTTGCCTTTTCTTATTCGCCCCAGCTTTTTTTTTTAGGGCCGTCTAGTCACGCCACAGGGAA